TGGGGAGAGAGAACATACAAGCAGAAGAGCAAAATCTGAGACTCTGTTATATTTATCTTCATCTCCCAGCCCCCACATGCCCTTTTTAAAAAATATTTGAGTTCTTTCCAAAAACACATGAAAATAGATTGAGGAATTTTCTGGATAGACTGTGACCACTGGGGGCATTCTGAAGAAAGTACATGATCAAGAACTGAAAGCAAGAAGAGAAAATCCCTGGTTTAACTGAATGGAAGGGCTCCTAAATCATACACAAATTTTTTTTCATTGTCAATAAATAACCAGTAGAGTCAGTTAAGGAATTTAAATGAAAAGGACATCTGCAGTTCACAGCTTTCCTGGAAAGAAAAATTGATTTTGAAATATAATGATCTCATTATAATCGTTTTTTTTTTAATTTTTTTTAAACGTTTATTTATTTTTGAGACAGAGGGAGACAAAGCATGAACGGGGGAGGGTCAGAGAGAGGGAGACACAGAATCTGAAACAGGCTCCAGGCTCTGAGCTGTCGCACAGAGTCCGACGCGGGGCTTGAACTCACGGACCCAGAGATCATGACCTGAGCCGAAGTCGGCCGCTCAACCGACTGAGCCACCCAGGCGCCCCTCACTATAATCGTTTTAATAGAAATTACTCCAGTGGAGCGGGGGAAGATCTAGATTATAGAGAATGGTCAAATTAAAAATGCTTCCTAAGGGTGTTTTGGCAGCAAAGAAAATTTTGGTAGAATTTCCTTAGGACTCAGGTGATGTGGAGTGGTAGGATTGGATGGTGTCCAGGTGAGAGATTGCTCTTTTCTTTGAAAACATAATAACTGGTTTCCAGTTTTCTGTATCTTGGTTCTTTAAATTAAGTCTTAGAAAGTTCTAACTCTTCCATCTTCTTTGTTTTCAGATTAACCAAATACATTATTTTTTTTCTCCCACAGATACTGTTTTCTAACCATCATTTAGTCATCAATCACTTTTTAGTATTTTTTCTTTTTTTCTTTTTAAAGAACAGAACTTTAATATAGTATAGACAAAAGACTATTTGACTCAGAATTATCAAGATTCCCAGGCCATACACTGGACCTACTGAATAGCAATGTTTGGAGATGGATGGGGCCTTATTCACACCACAACTTGAGAACTACTGTCTTTAAAAATTTTTTTTGTAATGTTTATTCACTATTGAGAGAGAGAGAGAGAGAAAGAGCAAGGGGCAGAGAGAGGGAGACACAGAATCTGAACCAGGCTCCAGGCTCTGAGCTGTCAGCACAGAGCCAGACATAGGGCCCCAACTCACAAACCATGAGATCATGACCTGAGCCAAAGTCAGGCGCCCAACCAACTGAGCCACCCAGGTGCCCCAAGAACTACGATTTTAAAGAATTCCACATCTCTCTATTTGAATTGAAACATTTGAATTGAATTTGACAATTATTTTTTACCATGAGGTTTACTAATTTAGTATAGAAGACATATTATCTTTCTTATAAATTATATTTATTCTCATACTTCCTAATATCACTTAGTCATACTGCAAAGCTATCTCCCTTTTAGTTTTGACATGAGTTATTCCTAAAATTACTGAACTAGTATATAGCAAGTCAATTTCAAAATATCTCACAAATGAAATCTGTTAAGAAAAACATGATCCAACAAGTCAACTTCTTTCTTTGTTTCTTTTATGGAGAGGTCTTGAACAGCCTGTTGGTGGTGGTGGTTTCTTTTTTTTCTCTTATATGTAGAATTCTAAAACTGGGAACTTCTAAAAAGAAGTTATGGGGGCACCTGGGTGGCTTAGTCATTTGAACATCTGACTCTTGATTTTGGCTCAAACCATGATCCCAGGGTCATGGGATTGATACCTGTGTTGGGCTCCATGCTGATGGCAGAACCTGCTCAAGATTGTCTCTCTTTCTCTCTGGGGTCCTGAGCGTCTGACTTCTGGTTTTGGCTCAAGTCATGATCTTAGGGTTCATCGCATCAAGCCCCAGAGTGGCTCTGTGCTGACAGCGCAGAGCCTGCTTGGGATTCTTTCTCCCTCTCTCTCTGCCCCTCCCCCCACTTGTGCTATCTTTGTACCTCTCAAAATAAATAATAAGCATTTAAAAAAAATTATCTCTCTCTCTCTCTCCCTCTGCTCCTCTCCCCTACTCATGCGCTTGTGCTCTCTCTCAAAAATAAATAAATGAAAAAAAAGAAGTTACGACATATAGCCTATGTAATCTTTATGACATTGGCAGGTGTCATTGCAGTAATACACCAAATCTTTATGAAAGAGCCCAAAGTAGTAGAACTTTATTTTATTCTAATTCGTTTAATTAAATGTTCTACCTACCTAGAAACCAAGTGAAAGTTCCTAAATAATTTCTGACATGAGCTAAATTTTACTTCTGATTCATAATGACTGATTATAACACTATGACAGTTACAGAAAATTAATTAGTTATGAAGAACAAGAACTCTAGAAATAAAAATGCAGAGGCTGAAAATTGAATTATAATCTTTTTTATACCGTGTGGAAATAGTCATATGGAATTTAAAAACTCAGGTCGTGGGGCGCCTAGATGGCTCAGTTGGTTAAGCATCCAACTTGGTTTGGGCTCAGGCCATGATTTCACAGTTCGAGAGTTTGAGCCCTGCATTGGGTTCCACACTGACATCTCAGGGCCTGCTTGGGATTCTCTCTCCTTCTCTTTCTGCCCCTCCCTTGCTCTCTCTCTCTCTCTCTCTCTCTCTCAAAATGAATTAATAAAATTTAAAAATAAAATAAAATGAAAATAAAAATTCAGGTCACTAAAATAATACTAAGGAAGCTCTTTATTACACATTTCCCCCCAAAATATGTCATGTTAAAGCAATATGAATTCCATAAAGTACACACACACAATATTTTAGCTGTGATTACAAACTTGCTGAAAAAGTCACTTCCTTTCATGCATGAAACTTATAAAACTCAAATTTTAATTCTAAAGATTTTGAATCATTTGGGGTACAGATTAAGAAGGCATATTTTGGGCTCTCCCCAGATGAACTGAATCAGTCTCTAGAGGGTATGTCTTGGGAATCTGCATTTTCATTGCTAAACATTTACTTATTACCCACACCAATAATAGCATTCTGGAGAAAGTGCCAACTTCTTCATTATCTATGAGATCCAGACCCCCAAGCCGTAGTGCTTCATCCCATCTTAGAGGTGGACATGGGCTGTTTACCAGAAGTCCACAGCTAAAATCTGTGCCACTATTGGGCAACTGCCTTAGGAGGCAATAATTTTTTTTTTCCTTTTTTAATCATCTCTTTTGGTGTAGAAATTTATGAGCTGGTGCTATTATCCAATTACAATTGTTTTACATCCTCTTGGCAAGTTTAATGGTGATTTCAACTACAACTTTCTCACTTCACTGACCTACTGATGGACAAACTTTTTCTCTATTTTCTGATGGATGGAAAGATAGAGCGCAAAAACTTTTGTGTATGATGCGAACTTGTAAGATCTACTCATAGCAACTTTCAGATATACAGTACAGTATTGTTAACTTTAGTCATCACACTGTACATTTCATCACCAGAACTTATTCCTAATTTAAATATTAATTTATTATACTGCTGCCTGCTCCTTTCTCTACCAGATGCTGCTGCAGGAAAACACATGTATCTACCTGCTTCTTTTAGCCACTTTTTATAGTGCCATCCAAAATTAAATCAAAATGAATGTGGTTAGAAAAAAAAGTCATTGTGCAAGAGGCGAATGCACACCTCACACTTGGACCAGGAGCTCTGCAGTTTCTCTGGAGACAGTCTGCAGGGTCAGACAAGGTGGCAGTTTCATTAATAACAGTTTATTTGTAAAACTCATCCCCTTGAAGAATTCCTTATAAGGAGATTTCTGAACTTCCCAAACCATCTATGGCTGCACACACGGTGCCAGGAGGTTGAGGACAGTTGGTTAAACCTTACTTTGAAGCCAGGGTAAGTCTAGTCAGTCCTACTCATACCTTTAGGGAAAATGAAGCTAAGTTATTTTTAGAGGATGATTTCTGTCACAATTGGCTTCCCTGAGGTACATAACCAGAAGACCAGAATTAGAAAAAAGGAAATGAACTTTTGTTCTAATAAATGTTTGGTATGAAATATTGAATCACCTTCATGGGTTTCTAGGGCCTGAGAAAGTTCCGTTCTTTAAAAAGAAAAAAAGCTACAGTATATATATTACTTAACTGCAAGTTCTCTACTAATTATCAATATTAAGGCCACTCAAGATATTTTTCCCAGTTTTATTGAGATAATTGACATATAATATTGTGTTAGTTTTAGGTGTACAACATGATTGATATATGTATATATTGCAAAATGATCATCATAGTAAGATACATCACCTCACATGATTACAAAGACTTTTGTGTATGGTGAGAACTTTTAAGATCTACTCTTAGCGAATTTCAAATAGACATTACAGTATTAACTTTAGTCATCATGCTGTACATTTCGTCACCAGAACTTATTTATAATTGTAAGTTTGTATTTTTTTGAACTGTTTGCGCATTTTGCCCGCCTTTCCCCACCCCCTCCCTGTGGGATCCATCAATCAGTTTTCTTTTTCTTTTTTTAAATGCAAGCTATTTTAAGACGTGCTGTATTGGTGAGGGACCACTTTACACCCTCTTTATACTGAAGTGTGGTGTGTTGATAAGCTTGGACATATAAGTGTTACTTAAGCAACCATATTGCCAGTTTGTTATTGTTACATACACAAAGGAAAATGGGAGAAAAAAAAAGGAAAAATAAACTTTGATTTTTTAAAAAAAAAAAAAAAATAATAGGGGGGGGGGGGGCGTGGGAGTTGTTCCTGAAGGGCCCTTCAAGAGGCATCGCTCAGGGGACCGCTGAGAACTGAGACCTAAAACTCCGCAGGTCACCGGTCAGGAAAGTTTTAGGCAAAATTCACAGAGGAGCTCCCACCCCTCCCCCCGCCGCCGTTTCCACCCTGGCGCAGGGACCGACGGGACTGGGCCACGGCCCAACCGCCTCAGGGGAAGACGAGGCCCGGAAGCCCCGAGGCCGGTAGGGGCCAGAAGAGGGCTACAGGGAGCCCCCAGGCCTCGACCAGCCGTCGCCCGCAGCCCAGAGCTAACTCCTCAGCCCCGGAAAGGCGGGGCGTCCGCCTTTCCCGCGTACGGGTCTCGCCGCCCGGCTCAGCCTCCTCGTAGGCCTTGCGCCATTGCTGCTACTATCGGCCGAACGGGGGCGCGGAGCTGGTCCCGGGGCGGGATGCGGCCGCCCCTGGGGCGGTGGTGGCTGCTAATCTGGCTGCAGCCTTTGTCCGCGCCGCCCGCTGGCGCGGTGCGCGGAGAGGAGGAGGCGGCGGCGGCGTTGGCAGGTAACCGCGGGCACTGGCGGCCGGCGCGCACGCGCGCTCCCGGACTCCTCGGTTCGTAGGCCTTGGCGGCTCGAGGGCGCTTTCCCTGCCCTCGGCGGCGGCGGTAAGGCTCAGGCAGCCCGGTGGGCGCTTTCTCGTCCCCTAAGGCTCGCCGGGCGTGGCCGGCGGCAGGCCCAACATCCCTTATCGCCTGCTTGGGTTTCCCTGGTCTTCTTGCTGTCACTTGGACACTTTTATGATTTTAGGAGTAGAAGCAACCGCCAAGCTCAGTCTAGCCCAGTTTCCTCGTTTATGAAGCAGCAACCAAAGCTCCGAGATGTTTTGATTTGTCTGAGGTCACACAGCTTGTCACTGGCACAGCTGACCCTAGCTAGTCTCCCGACTTTCAACACAAGACTTTTGTCTAGTACATCCATTTGTGTTGAAAACCTCAGTATTTCTCTATATAGCTATTACTTTGGACTCAATAGAAGAGCTTTAGCTTTAGAATTAGACCGAAATTCCCCTGCCTCCGACTAGCTCTGCGACCTTGAGCAAGGCACACTACTGGTCACATGTAAAGCAGATCCTATCTGACGGGATTGTTGTCATGTTTAAAGTGTGCACGATGTTACATAGGAAACAAGAGATGGTAGCTCCTCATATTGTTGTTAAGGGCTATCTGTGGAGTGCTCTCAAGATCCTGGCACGGAAGGGAGGTCGCGAGTTCCGACTCCAGAACTTCTAGTAATATGCTATGAGCTTAACATTTCTAGCTCATCCCCACTCCTCGCGTAAAATCCTTTAAAAGATTTCCTGGAATTTCTGTCCACCAGCTTCTCCTCCTCTCATTGGTAACCGCTGTTTGCAAGGGGGTTACCCAAGTGTGATCCTTTAGCCCCTCCAACGAGATCAAGGTTCTTTGTCTAAGGATGAAGACAGTTTTCCGATTCTGCCAGAGCTGCCAACTCATGGGAATCTTGCAGTGCGTTAAATACTTGGGGAACTGTTCGGTACCAGTTTTCATTGAATGGACATTCCTTGAGTGCTTCCTATGTGTTAAAAGTGCTTTAAATGCATAATCTTTTTTAATACCCACAGTAACCCTATGGGCTTAAGTACCATTTACATACCCATTTTACAGATGAGGAAAGTCAGGCTTTAGGAGTAAGAAATGTAACCAGTCTATATACTGATGAAAAAATAAATGACAGATGTGTCTAAGAGGGAGGGTTTCTGAGCATAGCAGCAGCCAGAAAATTGTAAGTAGCCTTGGACCAACACCCAGAACCTTGAGTTCTAGTTATTCATTACATTTCCCCACTCACTTGCAGAATTTACTTTGGTCCAGGCACATAATCTTTATGGACAATGGTTTTCTCATGAGTAAAATAAAGTTCTTCTGTTGCTGAATGGCTTCCAATATTTTCCTCACTTTTTTATTTGCTTCAGTCAACCCAATATTTCTCATATTTCTATTACATTTAGTATTAACTATTCCTCCTTCTATTTTGTTAGCCAAAGACTCACGTAAATGCTTATCAGAGCTACTGTTCTGCCCAAGACATGCAGGATGCCCACTGAGTTGATAGAATTCTAGCCCACAGCTAAGAAAAATGGCAATTTACATAGCCTTTTAGTAACACTTGCCATTCCAGATATACTATACAGCAGAGGCTATGGAGCATCCTGGATCCTGTGAAGGTTCTAAAGACACCACATTGGAACCTCTGGACTAGACTAGGTCTAAGGAACATTGTTGCTCCAAAAGTGGTTTTATGAGTATCCCTGCGATCAAACAGCTGGTACTTCGTTTCATGAAATAGGGCCCATCTATAACATGAGAAGCTTGGATTAGATGATACTTACTGTTGTAAAATTCTGTCTTGAATGTACACACCCTTCCGTACAATAGAGAACATTTAGAGCGAGGCCAGCTTTCTGTCACTCTATTTGGATGAAAGTCAGAGGCAAATGACACAGGAGAAGCAGATAGTTGTCTGGCTGAAAGGAAGAGTTATTCATAGTTTGCAGCAAGTGGGAGAGGGCCCTAGAGACCACATGTCCTATGATAAAGTTCAGGCCACTGGGTTGAATTCCCAGGCTTGAACTATATAGCAATAGGCCACTTGAAACTACAGCTTTCAAGGTTCTTCTCTATGGAGAAGAAAAATCAGTACTCGAAGTTAAAATTAGCCTGAATGTACATCAGCATGTGCTAATTTCAGATTCATTCTCTATGCACATTCTTGGAGAAATAAAAATCCAGATTGATATTCAAGTCCGGTTAAAAAAAACCAGGGTTACTAGAATAGGAAAGTTAACTTTGTAACTTTGGTGCTCCATGGTAACTCCTTTGAAACTAGGAATTTATAAAATAATACCCAGAAAAGTCCTTCTTCCTTTGACCTTTCAGGAGCTACGTTTTGTTGGTTTTCCTTTTTGTTTTTCCTATTCTTCTACCTCCCCTTCTTTGTCCCAAAAGAAAAGCAGTGATAGGCCAGATGGAGAAAGTGGCAGTCTAATTTAATAAGTGATTTTATATTATAGTTTCATCTGAAGATATTTATTTCCCATATGAGGGCCATGTAAGGTTAAATTTTTGAAGAACGTTGCTGAAATACTTTTATGTTGGAGGTTGTTTAAGATCTGCTAGGATTTGAGGAGTGTTTGTGCTTTTTATTTTTAGCACATGCTATAAGTAGGTTTAAGTACTACCTGCCCTTTTCTGAAGTTTTGACTGAATATTTTTACCTTACATATGACTAAATTCTTTAACTTAAATATATCCTTTTACATTAGGAAAACTAAAAAATGACAAAAGTAGTACAAAGGAGTAATTTTAAATGTAATTTATTAGTTAAAGCAGGTGATACCCATCTGTCCCTTTTTTATATAAGCTATGTAATGTTAAAATTAGATTCATTGAATATTTATAAATTGGCACTTTTTAAAACATTTTTTTAATATTTATTTATTTTGAGAGAGCAAGCGAGCACACGTGTATGAGCACCCACACTGGCAGGAGAGGGGCAGAGAGAGAGAGGGAGCTGTCATGACATAGAACCTCCATCTCAGGAACTGTGAGATCATGACCTGAGCCGAAACCAAGAGTCTGACACTTAATGGACTGAATGACCCAGGCGCCCCTAAATTGAGTGGTATTTAAAATGAACTAAGGGGGCACCTGGGTGGCTCAGTCTGTTGAGCCTCCAACTTCGGCTCAGGTCATGATCTTGTGGTCTGTAAGTTTGAGCCCTGCGTCGGGCTCTGTGCTGACAGCTCAGAGCCTGGAGCTGCTTCGGATTCTGTGTCTCCCTCTCTCTCTGCCCTCCCCAGCTCGTGCTCTGTCTCTCTCCCTTTCTCTCTCATAAACATCAAAAAAATTTTTTTTAAATAAAAAATAAAATGAACTAAGGAATCTCATTGGGTAAGGTAACCCTGACTCAGATCCTTTGGTAATGTAAATAACTGTGCTTTGTCTTAGCCGTTTGGGCACAATTGTCCAGAAATATATTCTACGGAAGTCAGGTTTATTGCAGAATCAAGAGAACCTGCTGAGGACTGCATAGAGTTACAAAAGGCAATGGTCATTTTGCGACTTAGAGTTGCAGACTTGCTGGGGTAGGCATTGTGATGATGGCATGCTGGGCTGGCCCTGTAGATACTCCCTAAGTGCTTAGGAGATGAGGCAGAGCTGCGATAGCCCACACTTCCAGAACTTTCTCTGCATCTGGAATCAGGTGTGAGGATGTGAATACCCAGGTTATGGGGCACCTTCTAGGGTGGAAGCATATTTCAGCCTCAGGTGGAAGCAGTAGCTGTCCCTAGGCAGGTATTGTTCTCTTCTGATCAGATGAATGATTATTATTAAGTTTTTATGCAGCCCCAGAAATTCCCTTTTGTTTTCTTGATTATATTGTGAAGGGATTTTGTTGGTATCATTGTGATATTTTTGGGTTTCCCTACATCTGCCTCCAGGAAGTTCCATCCTAGCAGAATGAACCAGCATGACTGAGGCCACATAAATAAATGATACCTATAGACATCTGGCAGCTTCACAGAGTTCAGGTCTTGAAGTTCAGGGCTTGAACAGCCAATAGAGTTCAGATTAGCTGGCTATGTTTTCTATTTCCACCCTTAGGTGGAGATGGAGGAGGAAGAAACTGAATAATGAAATGTCTCTAGAAGATTATTTAAGGGAGGAGAGACCTAGGAAAGATAACCTTTATAAACAATCTAAGATTAGAATATCTTGTTATCTCTAGGAAGGCAGTAGTCCAGCCTACTTAGCAATCTCTATTTATTTATTTATTTATTTATTTATTTATTTATTTGCTTATTATTTTAGAAAGAGTGTGCACACTTGGGCAATAGATAACAATCTTGATTGCTACAGTATCTTACGCTTAGCCCAGCTAGCCCATGGCTTATGGTTTACATGAACTCACTTGAAGTTAGGCATGTTCTTCCTTAGGTATTTCGGAGTTCTTGTGTGGATTGAATGAAATTCATCTCAGAAGAGAGTTAATAACAATGAGGGCAGCCAGTGGACACTATGAAATACAAACACCTTATCTATCATATCTCATGTATTGTGTAAATTCGACATCAACTTGACCTCAAGAGCCAGAGGCCACTCTGGAGGAACACTTTGTTCCAGGGGGAACACTGCAACATGCTTTTAGTAGTGTTTCTATTGAAATCAATAGCCAGAGCAACCTACCTCCTTCTGTACTTTACTTAATCCTGTTGAGGACCAAGGAGAAACTCAGAGCAAGTTATTCTCTTCTAACTGGGAGGCCTCCTATGTAGAATACACTGATGTATCATATATGAGTAAAACAAAAACTTATTGCCTCTTGCATCTCTCTGCCCTTCTCTAACCAGTGAGGACAAAGAAGAGAGTCCCTAGTCCAAGGGATCTTAAGGATTACAGCTCTCAACCCTCTAGTTAAGGTATATTGATGATGGAGTAGGGTAGGTTATGTAGGTCCTGTGGGTTCTGTAGGCGTGATGGGAATGACACGGACTGGATAGGATGTTTGTTTACATCATGTTGCTTCAAAGGGAGGGACAAAGTGTACCTCCTTTTATTGTGCTGACTGGTGCTGGCCAGACTTTTACAAAGATTGGTCAGGCTTTCACTGTCTGGGCTATGCATGCCCAAATAACTCACTAACCCTCTGGAATTACAACACACACACAGAAGACTGATATTTAAAGGCTGGAGATACGGTAATGAACTTGCTGTCCCTAACTTCATGGAGAGACAAAGTATAAACGAATAATAACATGAAGACAAAATAAAGCAGAGTGAGGAGAAAGTAGATAAAAGGGGCTGGAGTGTGCCATTTTAGACAGTGGGGTCAGAGAAGGTCTTCCTGAGAAGGTGACATTTGGGCAAACATATATTATGAGAAGGAGCAAGCTCTGCCAAAATCTGGGGAAGGCAGATTGCAGGTGAAGGAATTGGCAAGTAGGAAAACTTGAGGTAGAAATGGTTTGGCATCTTGAGGATGGGAGGATTGGTGTGGCCTGAGTAGCTGAGAGGGGGAGGGGTGGAGGAGAGAAGGTCAGAGTACTAGGTCCTTGGAAGGGACGGTGGATTTTATTATGAATGCAATGAGAAGTCATTGGTTTTGAGCAGGTAAATAATCTGCTCTGATGGATGTTTTTGAAAGATCTATATGCTGATTGGAGAATCGGTAGTAGGGAAATGTCATAGGGGCAATTCTGGAAGCAGGGAAACCAGCTAAATGGCTATTACAGAAATCCCAAGTGCAAGAAGACTGGTTTGGACAGCAGAGAAGCATTTACTTCTAAATTCAGATCATTGCACTTTATTTAAATTGCACCATCTTGCTCTTAAAAGTTACAGATACCAAATGATTTAAGGAGACAGTCTTAGGACCAAGGGGGAGCAAACTCATTTGAAGGCAGTATTTGTTTGCAAAGCTCAGGTCCCGGAAACAGGATATTCCCTCAAACTACTAACAAGAGTAGTTCACTGTTCTTAACAGGAATTGATTCCTTGAAGTAGTGGAGCCCACTAGGAGAGGCGATGCAGAGAGAAGCTCCTGGCATTGAGCACAAGTGTCGTATTAGGAGTAGCCGTGAAGAAACAACTTGCTGGAAGTTAACATTCTTACAGTGGTCTGGGGCTGCTGGGGTCTGTGGACCTTAAGCCTCACCCCCTTTACCTGCCTGGTTGGAATGCACTCCCATTTCAACAATAGGTAGGGATTCCCCTCTTTTACTGTGGAATATAGTTGTCAGTATAAAGTTGTCAACTCTAGCCACCCGGTAGAGACCTGTTCCTGCTCAGAGACCCAACAGGAGGGCTGCGTAGAGGCAGAACATAGGATACCAGAAGGCCAGTCGACAGCCCTCCTTCTAATGCTTGTTCTCACTAGCGGAGGGCTTTTATGTGTTTTAGTTGCTTAGGTGCTCCCAGGTTCTACACTGCCGTTGACATTGTCTCTTCTACAGCTAGCTGCCAGCTCTTCAATGTCCAGGAGTGCTTTCTCCCCTGTGTAGCCCTTGGCCAGGAGTCATTTGCATCTCAGATATATCCAAGAATTTGCCTCAGCAGTTGGTTGCTTTGTGTGTTGGTAGCACTGGTTCTGCATTCCCCTTTTGGTCTTGTATATAAACAGGCTGTGCCGAGGGATGCATGTTTTAAAAATGTTTAAAAAATGTTTATTTATTTTTGAGAGAGAGGGAGAGACAGAGCGTGAGCAGGGGAGGGCAGAGAGAGGGAGACAGAATCTGAAGCAGGCTCCAGGCTCTGAGCTGTCAGCACCGAGCCTGACATGGGGCTTGAACTCAGAGACAGTGAAATCGTGACCTGAGCTGAAGTCAGCTGCTCAACGGACTGAGCCAGCCAGTGGCCCCCTCACCCCCAGGGCATGCAGTTTTAATTTTTAGTAGTTTGTATTTAGCAGAGAGCTTCTAGAGCTTCCTTTACGTGCCGTTTTGAGACCTGCCTCTTCACCTGGATTCTTGTATTTCCATCTCAGACTCTCAAACTCTGCAAATTTGTTGGTATATTTAAAAAACTGTGCATTTCCTCACAATGTTAAGAGTATAGATTTGGGGCGCCTGGGTGGCTCAGTCGGTTAAGCGTCCGACTTCAGCTCAGGTCACGATCTCACGGTCTGTGAGTTCGAGCCCCACGTCGGGCTCTGGGCTGATGGCTCAGAGCCTGGAGCCTGCTTCCGATTCTGTGTCTCCCTCTCTCTCTGCCCCTCCCCCATTCATGCTCTGTCTCTCTCTGTCTCAAAAATAAATAAAGGTTAAAAAAAAATTTTTTTTTAAAGAGTATAGATTAAATGACTTGACAGTGTCACACTGGAAGATACTGGGTTCTCATGTGACTTTCCTGCTTTGTGTAGCTTTGTGACTTCCATGCAGTTGCATTGGTGGGTATTCTCTGCATCTTCTCCCCAAGTCTATCTTCACTTCCTTTAAGCTTAATGCTTAGGATGCTTCTAGCTAGGACACAAACCTATGTGGGCTTATTCGATATCATTCCCTGAATGGATGTAATTGTAGACTAGTTTCTAGTTACTTAGTCCTTCCCCAACTGTGGTGCAGCAGATTATTCTAACTTCACTTGATGTTTTTATGGAGCAGCTGACCACACTCTCCTTAGAGGAGTTGGGGGATGGGCATGAGGCCCATTTCTCTGTGTGCCCATAACATTCTCTGTGCCTGTTTCCTGTTGACATGTGTAGTGGTGACAGACACCCTGTCCTGGATCCAGAAGAATTTATGACTTTCATCTCACTTCACTTTAAATTCAGATACAGAGGCAGCCACAGAATCAAATGAATCCCATTACTTTACAGTTTTCATATGGCATTTACCCTCTCATAAAGCACCTGTCTCTCTTCCTCTGTATATTAGATTGTGTTGTGTTGTATTAAATGTTATTTATATGTTGTATATAACATACAGATGCACATATATTTATATATGCAGACACATATGTATCTACTTCTGTCCCCACATTTCTCCTGTGTTGTAGATTTATCTGTTTTCACTTAGTCCCACCAACCAAAACTCGGTTATGTCCCAAATTGAACTCATCCCCCTTTCCTGCACAGGCTTGCATCTTCTCCAGTGTTCCTTTTCTGGGTGAGGGACCTCACCATCTTTCCACTCACCAGAACTTTCAGGTCGTCTTCTTGCTCTCCCTCATCTAATGAATCTCCAAAGCCTGTTGATTTCAGTCCTAAGTGGTCTTTTATCTGTTCTTTCTCCCTCCTACCTAGTTCGTTTCTTGCTTGGACTCCTTTAGTAGCCTCCTTAGTGGTTCTTCTACTTTTAGTCTTCCTCACCTCTAAAATTGCACATTGCTTTAGAATTCTTTTTCTAAAACACAACTGTGTACCTGTTATTTCCCTATTAAACTGGTTATTCTCTGTTCCCACAGATCTGTTCTGTGCCCCTCTCTTCCCTGCTCGGTGTCTGGAAGTGGACATCTGTGGACTGCATCACCTGGGCTTCTTTGCCCTCCTGCTTCCCATTGCATTTGGCCAGTGAGAGGCACTGATGGGAGGGCAGGAGAGAGAGGTTGAAGTAGTCATACCTTCATCCCACCGTTCCACATTTTGGCAGGGATTGCATCCCATGACACTACTGTCCTCTGGGCTTCAGCAGCTCTGGTAACGTTGGGCCCTCCCTTTGCCATTTCAGGCAAGGATGTTAAAGGCTTCCTGCTGTTGTTGATGTCTGGGAAGTTCACAGCGCCTTATTGTTAATGCCTTAACTCTGCCCACATCCTCACTGAACTCTTCAGTTAAACCCTTTTGAGTGTCATCAGTTTCCTGCTGAGACTTTGATGCTTACCTAAAATCCTTCAATGCTCTGCTTTCAGCATGAAGTCCATACTCCTTAGAGTAAGTAGTAACTACTGCTTACCTCTCTAGCTGCAGGTGTTGAAGCTGCCACCAATTCTTGCCCTCTACTTCAAGACTGAAGTACCCATTCTGAGTTCTTTTTTTTTTTTTTACTTTCACTTTTTATTTGAACTCCAGTTCGTTAACATAACAGTGTAATATTAGTTTCAGGTGTAGAATGTAGTGATTCATCACTCACATACAACACCTAGTGCTCATCACAAGTGCCCTCCTTAATACCGACCACCCATTTAACCCATCCTCCTGCCCACCTTCTGTGTTCTTATAGTGCCTTCCATATATCACAAGAGTACTGACACTAGACTAATTTTTTGTCTGTCTCCTGTAGGTTGGAAAGACGGAGGGACTATACTTACTATGTAGGAGAATTCACTTAGAGAATGTAAAATGCATTATTATTGTGAATAAAAGGGAAAAAAAAGATAAGATTGCGGAAATTAAATATTTAGGAAATATAATCACTTTTCGATCTCTCAGTTCCAAGGTGTAAAGCTCTGAAGGAAATGGATTTAATTAAAACTTCTGAGTCAGACTGTTACTGCTACAATCGAAATTCCCGAATGGAGTGGAAATACATGTGGTCAACTCTGCAGGTAAGAGCCTATGTTTAAATTATGTCTGAGGAGCTGGGAATTAAAATGTACTTCTTCAAGAATACAAAATAGCTTTTATATGACATAGAGCTGTGTATCAGTATGAAAGCTAGCTTGGGAATCACATCCAGTGGCCCAAGGGAAAGGGATATGTGGAAGGGTACATTAACTCTTCATACGCTTCATCAGCCCTTCCCCAAACTACTCCAAATAAATATGGTTTTTAAGTGAGCACAGTGTGCTTGCTATTCAGATACATACTTTCCAAAATCATTGCTATCCCAAGCCCCTCTCTGATTCTAGGTATGGCCAAGATAATAGTTAATCTCAATAGCCCAGTACTTTTCCTTCATTAATAATACTTATTAAGCACTAGTTAAGTGCCAGGAACTATTATAGGCTCTTAGGATACATCAGTGAACAAAATAGATCCCTGCTCCTGTGATGTTTATACTCCTAGGGATAGGAGATAGGCCATAAATGTAATAGAGAAGAAAATTATAAAACTAGTAAGTGCTATGAAAAAAGAAAATGTAGAGTAAGGTAAGCGGAATGAGGAAGGTGGGGGGGCAGTATAAAAAGAGTGATCAGGGTAGTTCTTGTAGAGAAGGTGATATTTAAGAAAGACTGTAATTTTTTTAAATGTTTAATCGTTTTTGAGAGAGAGACACACAGAGAGACAGTGCAAGTGGAGGAGGAGGGGCAGAGAGGGAGAGAGACACAGGATCCAAAACAGGCTCTAGGCTCTGAGCTGTCAGCACAGAGCCCGACGTGGGGCTCAAACTCATGAACCAGGAGATCATGATCTGATCCAAAGTCAGACACTTAACTGACTGAGCTACCCAGGTGCCCTGAGAAAGATTTTAATGAAGTTAGTGAGTTACCAAGATAATATACCAAGAAAGAGTGTTCTAGGCTGAGGGAAAAAGATCGGACAGCATATCAGAAGGCATATGATGTTGATTTGTACTATTACTGATAATATACCCCATTTTGATCACCTGCTTAAAGTGGTATTGTCAATTTACAATTTTACCACTGGAAAGTGACCATTTTCCCCTTTGTAATAAATGAGTATTTTGAGGGATACTTTGAAACTATGTAGATACTCTTTTCCTTACCTTTCACCCTGTAGTTTTATCGTCCATTGATGATGCTTGCATGAACCAGTTATCATCATGCTGTTTTATCAAATGGTGATTTTCTAATTCCATTACTCTTTCCTCATTCATCAGTATTCTTCAAGAAGGAAGACTTTTTCCTTCTCCAGTTTATTTATATTCATGTAATATTACAGATTGCCAATTCATTCAGTGGATTAGAATCCATTACCTCGTAATTTATTTTGATATTCAAATTATCCTAGATTTGGCCAGTAGGAGTTCCTTCAAAGTATCTCATGTGGGAGCACCTGGGTGGCTCAGTCAGTTAAGCGTCTGACTTCGGCTCAGGTCATGATCTCACAGTTTGTCAGTTTGAGCCCCGTGTCAGACTGTGTGCTGACAGCTCAGAGCCTGGACCCTGCTTCGGATTCTGTGTCTCCCTCTCTCTCTGCCCCTCCTCCACTCACGCCCTCTCTCTAAAAATTAAATAAAAACATTAAAAAAAAATTTTTTTTTTTAAGTATCTCATGTGTCCTTTTAATTTGTGCCTATCATTTGAGCATCTCTGGCAAACAGGATGCTCCAGGCTTATCTTGTAATTTCCTAAACCCAGCCCTGGAATCCTACATTTTTTCAAGGAGCGTTCAGAGTTAGGTGTGTTTATTAGTGCTGGGATACCATTGTCATATGCAGACACACAGAGACACAGAGACATATACACCCCTACACCTGCACATGTATCTATTTCTGTCACTGTATTTTTTTTTAATATGTGTTTTTGCAAGAGAGAGAGAGAATCCAAAGCAGGCTCCACACTATCAGCACGAAGCCCACTGTGGGGCTTGAACTCATGAACCATGAGATCATGACCTGAGCCAAAGTTGGATGCTCAACCAACTGAGCCAACCAGGGCCCCCCTGTCACTCTATCTGTTAAAAAACATGCATTATGGGCACCTGGGTGGCTCAGTTGGTTGAGCTTCCAACTCTTGATTTCAGCCCAGGTCATGATCCCAGGGTTTTGGACCCGAGCCCTGTATTGGGTTCTGTGCTAAGCATGGAGCCTGCTTGGGATTCTCTCTCCCTCTCCCTGTGCCCCTCTCCCCCACTCACACACACACACACACACTCTCTCTCTCTCTCTCTCTCTCTCTCTCTGAAATTAAAAACAAAAACAAAAAAACATGCTTTTTGATATCTCCCATACTACTGGGTTCATTCTAATCTCTCTCCTTGTCGTATTTGTAACTTTCTTCTCTGATAATGGGGAACTGGTTTTCATTATCCTCAGTATATTAATTGATTTGCTTAATGCTAGGGTAGTAATTTGTTTATTTATTATTTATTTGTCAACGTTTGTTTAGAGTGTGTTTTATCTCTAGTTTAAGAGTACATAGTCTAATACTATGCTCCAAAATTACTTAGGTTAATTCATTCCCACCCATCCTCTTTCAATATGGTTATATTATTCATTTGAAATATATTTGGTTTCATTCATTTCCATTTTCATTTGAAATATATTTGTTTTTATTTTTAAGGGCTTTCCCCCATCCTAGTTGATTTTATTATAATTATTTTTTAGTATGTGCAATATTAGTATGGTTTAAAATCACAGGTCTACACAGAAGTATCCTCAGAGAAGTGTCACTCCCCCTCATTTCTCTATCATTCCTATCCAACCCTTGTGGGTAGTCAATATTACTAGCTTCTGTCTTTCCTGTGTTTCTTTTTTCAAAACTAAGCAGTGATGCATGTTTATAGACAGTGCTAAGGAGTGGGTTTAGATGGAGAACCAATGGCTGAGCCTGGGTCAGTCTTAAATGAAGAGGTCAGGGAGGAGGAAGAGGCCAACAGAGGAGAGAGAGACAAGGAGCAACAGGTGAAGATGTCCAGGACGCTGTGGGAAGAAGTGTTACAAGCAGGGCCAAAATGCTGTTGGTGGATCAAATATGATGACGGAGAATGCACTGGCCATTTGATTTAGCAACATGGAGGTCCCTGGTGACTTTGTCAGGGACAGCCTGTTGGAAACGACACATTGGAAGAGGGTTAAGGAGAGAATGGAGAGGAGAAGAACTGAAGACTGCAGGTGTGGGCAACTTTTTAAAAGAATCTGAGTGCACTGGGAAGCAAGGGGGATAGCTGGAGGGGAAAGTGGCTTTTTTGTTTTTAAATGGAAAAGCTTCAACATGTTTGTGTCCTGATAGGAATGGTCTAACAGAGAGGGACGAAGTGCTGGTAGGCTGTCTTTGAGTGGACAGAGGTGGGTCTGATTCTGTGCCTTGAGAATCTTCTTTAAGTCTCCTCTGTGGCAGAAAGTTCCTCCCCACAGGCAGGAAGCAGAGCACGTGCCTGCAGGTGCTGCCGGGTGGGTGGAGGTGGGGATAGGAACCTGTTGATGTTCTCTTCTGGCTTCTTTCATTTTCAGTGGAGAGTGAGGAAGGGGAGGAGGTATTGGTGTTGAGGAAGGAAAAGCTGTGAAATCTTTGTTGAAGAGAGTGGAGAGTAGATAGGAATGTAGAGTGTCTTCAGAGTTGGTGATCTCACTATCCTTTTCAGGCTTGCCTTACTCTTGGACAGAGAAGAGGAATAGAGAGGGAGAAAGGCAGCAGCAGAATTGTTCTTTAATGAACACTGGATTGTCACTGTTTGCTTGGTACTGTAGCCAGTACTTTGTTGTGAGACTGGAATAGGACCTGTGGTTGGATTCTGGTCCTTCTTCGGGAGGCATGGGGAGAGAAGCCTGAATTACATATGCTCAGCTGATCCAGAAGGAAGTGCTTTTTCTCACAACACAGTAGAAAATGGTAGAGACATAATTCCTGTTCTCATGTTTATAACCAAATAGTTTGCCACCTATGACTTTTGTCATCCTTTTTCACATGTCCCTTGACCACAACAACTTGCTACAGGAGGGAGTTAAGTCACCTACAACTCAGGGGAAGAAATAACCACTTTCAAAAGTCTCTGTGCTCAGTGCGTTTGAACTAAACACAGATCTGTAGGTCCATCCCTGGGATCCCTGGGATCGTGTATATCTGAGTGTTCTTTATCCAGTTATCTTGGGCTCTCTTTACTCCTCTGCTTATGATTTGAAGGAGCTTATGAGAAGTTTTAACTTCTGTGTTTATGGATTTCTTTGTTCTTATTTTATAGGTGAAAATTACCAGTTCAGGTCTGCTCAATATTGCATATATCACAGGAAGACATAATTGTCAGTATCCAGAAACCATTCTATCTTTTATCAAATGTGTGATTCATAATTTTTGGACACCAAAGGAGTCTAATGAAGTTACCATAATCATCAATCCATATGGAGAGACCATGTGCTTCTCTGTGAAGCCTGTCAGGAAGATATTTATCTATACAATTAGTGTGAATCGAAACAGTAAGTCTGTTTTCATTATACTTGATTTTATGGATTTAGTTTTTCTGGAGTGACATTTCAATAAAGTGACTTTTCTTTTACCAACTACATTGACACAAAGTCTTTGTTGTGTGTGTGTGTCTTTTTTATTCCAGTTGTGGATTTCAAACTCTTCCTTGTGTTTGTAGCAGGTATTTTACTCTTCTTTTATGCAAAGACCTTGAGTAGGTAAGTATCCCTTTTTATTTTGTTAATTTTATAAATTAAAAAGAGTATAGGACAATTTTGACCCTATGCTAAGTATTTCCACACTAGTTTGCAGTTCTTGCTTTAGGTTTTACAAACAGTAGTTCTGAAGATAGTGCTTGAAAGGCCTTTTAAAACCAGAAACAGTACACATGATATGTACGTATATATTACAGCATGCTTTTACATGCATCATTTTGTGTTACGTATTAATGTACGTTTTTTATTTGATCCTCTTCATTATGTGAACTTTGCATTATTGTTCTCATTTTATCAATGAGAAAACCAACATTCATCATCACTGACTAGTTCTTGCTAGGGCCGAGATTTATATTCAGGTTTTCTGATACCAGATGCTTGCTCTCTCTATTAGATTCAAGCTGCCTCCAACATTTGTGGCTCTGATACAGAAGGTTGAGTTTAACAAATATTTGACTCTTAGATAAACATAGCATCCTGATATTTTGTTTATTACAACTTCTTTCATGAAAAAGGAGTCCTTTTCCAATAATATTTTACTTCTTAGCTTGCTATTCTTAATACTGTTCGTCTTTCTTGTAGTGCAATTAAGTATGTTTAATGTAATCCATGGCCTTTATAAAACCAATGTTAGTTACATAGCCTGCAGAGTAAAGCTTGGACTCAGAGGAGATGGGCTATAAGCCTGAATCCTCCAGTTGGCAGATACTGACTTATGGAAGGTCTTTAACTTCTTGGTGTCTTAGCTTCCTCCTCTGTAAAATTTTGACATGGATAACTATTTCACAGGGCTGTTGTGAATGCATGCAGAACTCTCAGACAAGTGCCTGCTACATGGTAGGCACTCAGTAATTATTCTTGGATCAGATTCTAAACATAGATAACTCAGACATTTTGTTTTGAGTTAGTGGCAAGCTATTGACTATAAATTTCAAGTATAGAAATTTCATTTTTTAAGAGTATAGGATCTAATTAAAACTAACATCTGAGTTTTTCTTCTTCGTATTCTTTATAGTTGCTATCGTCAGGTTAAACAGTTTTAATACTGAAAGTGCTGCTTGGCATTTAAATTGCTTTTATTTGCTTGTTTTGACAGAAGTCCTATTTTCTTTTACTCTTCTGGGACCGTGCTAGGTGTTCTAATGACGTTAGTCTTTGTCCTGCTTCTGGTGAAAAGGTTTATTCCTAAGGTAGGCATACTGTGTATAAATGAATAAAAGAGGGAAACCATGATCTCATAGACATGAAAAATGGATCAAAGTTAATCACATTGATTATGACAGTTCCAAATTCAAACTGTATTTCTACACTGTATTACAAAACTGGTTTTAAAATGTATCTTTTTCTAGAGATTCCATTTTTATTTGTTATTATGTATACCCTTAAGTAAATATAACTTTTGGTGATACTTTTTTGAGACCCCATTATTTAAAAAAAATTTTTTTTAATGTTTACTTATTTTTGAGAGACAGAGAGAGACACAGAGTGTGAGTGCAGGGAGGGGAGGGACAGAGAGAGAGGGAGACACATAATCTGAAGCAGGCTTCAGGCTCTGAGCTGTCAGCACAGAACCCGATGCGGGGCTCGAACTCAGGAGCTGTGAGATCATGACCTGAGCCAAAGTTGGACGCTTAACCAACTGAGCAACCCAGTTGCCCCAAGACCCTTTTACTTTCAGGTAGTAGATCTTTCTTAGGAATGGTGGGGGCTGATTCTATGCTGAGTAGAAATTTCTCTTATCTTGACAGAGCTGAGGAATGTCGTGATGCTGAACCATCAAGGCCTTGAGTAACAGCATTGCTACAACTGGGGATTTCTTCATTATTATTAGTTCCCCGAAACACCTTTAATGAAAGAATGCCCTGCACTTAGTTGAGGATAAATATTAGTTAATGTTGATAATGTTGCAGATACTCTGATTAAAGCTTGCAACACCGGCATTATTTTGAGATAAATTTATTCTTTAAAACAGTGCCTCTCCACCTCCACCTTTAGTATACATGCAAGTTACCTGAGTATTATCCTGCTGAAATGCAGGTTGTGATTTGGGGGTCTGCCATGGGGCCCAAGAGTCTGCATTCCAGCAAGCTCCCGGGTAATGCCAATGCTGCTGGTTCATGGGCCATAACTTTAACAAGACACCAGAGAGCACCTTGAATTGACCTCAGTGCAGTGTGATGTAGAAGTTTCTAATAATATAAAGGGTTTATTTGTTTCCTCCTATTTTTGTGAGAGTGAATGAACCAAAACCTGTGTCATTTATTCTCTTTCACACACAGTATAGCACCTTTTGGGCTCTAATGGTTGGTTGTTGGTTTGCTTCAGTTTATGTTGTATGCCATTTGATGGAAGATCTGAAGTGGCTATGGCATGAAAACAGAATATATATATTAGGTAGGTAATTAAAAAATATATATATATATATGTATTATTGACAAAGCTGAAAGTATAACTAAGAGGCCTTCCTTTGGAAGTATGTTTCTCTCTAGCATCTAAATTTTCCTTTTGAACTAAGAAGTGCTGTTAAAAACATTTTATTTTATTCCCACAGTTGATGATTTCAGTTCTTTAGATCTCTCTTTTTCTTTAAGTTTGTGTATTTATTTATTTGGAGAGAGCATAAGTGGGGGAGGGACAGAGAGAGAGAGAGAGAGAGAGAGAGAGAAAGAGAGAGAGAGAAGGAGGGAGGGAGGGAGGGAGGGAGAGAGGAGAGAAGAGAGACAGAGGGAATCCCAAGCAGGCTTCTCCCTGTCAGCATAGAGCCTGATGGGGGGGCTTGAATTCACAAACAGTGAGATCACAACCTGAGCCGAAATCAAGAGTTGGATACCCAACTGACTGAACCACCCAGGCAACCCTTTTAGATCTCATTTTAGTCTATTTCCCAATGACATCTTTCTTAGTTTTCTGTACTAATGATGAAAAGAGCAAAAAAGTATTTGTCCCTTTTGACTGCTTTTATGCTTTGAATCATGACTCTTTCTTTTTCTTAATGTATTCAGCATGAAAGGTGAAAAATCCTAAATATAAATTACTAATGAAAACTTGAATTTTCAGAAACAGAGAAGCTATTAAGAAACCACTTGTTCTTATTTCCTGAAAGCAAAAACAAATGAACAAGTTTTAAAAATTATTTATTTGTTTTAATTGGGGAATAATGGAGAATGGGAGGGTCAACTTTCTCCTAAGCCCTTAGTGCCAAACTTCTCATATAAGTTCACCCACCCAAAACAGAAGCAATCAATTTTTGTTTTAACTGAAGATTTTTATGTCTTTAGCTCATTTTTCTGTTTATGCTTAAGTATTTTTAAAGTAAATTACAAATATCATGGTATGTTCTTCTAAATATTTCAATAAACATCTCTAAAAAAAAAGAGCATTTTCTTCTATAGTTAAATACCTATTAAATCTTAAAAAAATCAATAATTACATAAATTACTCAGGCCATGTTCAGATTTCCCCAGCGTCCTTGATGGTTGGTCTGTATAAGGTGGGATATAGTCCAGTACCATATTTTGCATTTATTATGTCTTGTAGGTCTTTTTTAATCCATAACAATTGCTTTTTTCATCATAGTGCTCTGGTGAAGAGACTAGTTGTCCTGTAGAGTGTCCCAACTGTCTGGATTTTTCTGATTACTCCTTTGTGGTATAATTTAACTTGCTCCTCTCTCCCCTGTATTTCCTAAACTGGAAATTAGATCTGGAGGCTTTCTTAGACACAAGTGAACCATTTTTCATAGTATACATCAGAGGAGATGTGTATTTCACATCAGATCAGAGGGAGGATGCAGAATATCTCATCATCCTGCCATTATTAATGTAGAAACTGAGCACTGTATTAGGGGGGTATAGACTGATCCCTCCACTATATTTTCTTTTTTTGACTAGAAAGCAAAAATGAAAAAATAGGGTTTGTAGCCAACTGTGACATATGCTGAGGCTTATTCCTGACCAAAGGAACTATGGTAACATTTGCCCATCTAGGACTCTGAACTAAAAAATATACCTATCATAATAATTTATTATTAGACAACCTTAATTATCACAAAAAGTCAGCACAGTATCTCACATTGAAGGAATAACTAGCCCTCTACGTGTTTTTCAGCCTTACTTCTTTGGGAAAAGAAAACACAAATGAAGGTTTTCTGCTTGAGTCAAGGCTCTACCAGGATCTTTCACATAACTTTTCAGGTTCAGATTTTCAAGTTCTGCTTTTACAGGCTATGTTTTGGTGGCTGGATTTCTCAGCTTTGCCGTTTGTTATAAGCATGGGCCCCTGATTGATGAAAGGAGCGTGACTCTTTTGACATGGACACTGCGGCTCCTCGCCCTGGTTCTGATCTATTGTGGAGTCACCGTGCCCCAGGGCTCCTATGCAGCTCTGATCCTCATCCTGGCCTCCAGGAGTCTACGCTACCCACTGAAGGCGTTCACTTATATGAGGTGGTGCGTATCTTTTTTCTCCTTGTAAATGTGACATTTTGAGTTCTGGTTTTCTTTATTGTTTGGGGAAGTTTCTTGGATGTGTCCTATTTAGTCTCACAATTAACTACATTTCATCTGGGGATTTGGGAGAGAAAGAGGATAGAGAATTTAAGCATCTAATCCCATCTCCATTTCTAGTCTTCATTAATCTTTCAGAGGTCTACCCCCAAATACTAGGTAATTACAGCTCACTAAGATCAGGGGCAAAATTACTTGTGTTCTGGGTTGCCTACAATTTCTACTTTTATTCTACATTTCCTTTCATTAGGACCCAAGATTGCTTTAAAGGTATTTGTTGTGCTTATGAAATAGAGCTAAATGAATGTATTGTTTATGCTTAGGACTTTTTGGGTTTTTTTAGGTTTAAAGTTAAGGCTTAAGGGGCGCTTGGGTGGCTTAGTCGGTTAAGTGTCCAACTTCGGCTCAGGTCATGATCTCGCGGTCCATGAGTTCGAGCCCCACGTTGGGCTCTGTGCTGACAGCTCAGAGCCTGGAGCCTGTTTCAGATTCTGTGTCTCCCTCTCTCTGTGACCCTCCCCCGTTCATGTTCTGTCTATCTCTGTCTCAAAAATAAATAAACGTTAAAAAAAAATTTTTTTTTTAAATAAAGTTAAGGCTTAAGCCCTTGAAAAATACAGAAAGAGAGATGAGGTAGCTTCTGTTGTCACAACTGTATTATGTCTCTCCTTAGTCACTGAGCCTGAACACCTGTTTTTGTGTCAGGTGCACAGATGAAGGAGATAGTCCCTACCCTTGAGGTGTACTTGCTGAGCCATCAGCATGCGTTTCTGTATCTTTGGAGTGTTAAAAATATGCCTGTTCAGGGACTATGGCACATAGAGTTCAGGAGAGTTCCTGAAAGAGATATTACTGGGCTGAACCTTAATAAATTAAAACAGCCGGGTGAATAAGTGTGGGAAGGACCTCCCTGACAGGGAGAAAGCCCAGTTTGGTAGCATCATGAGGCAGGCAAGGGAGGTGGCAGTCGGCCAGGTTGTGGAGGCATCACAGGCTGTGTTAAGGAATCTAGTCTGATCCTGTGCATAGTGGAGGCAAGAAGCCATTCTGCAATGCAGTCAGCATTCTCTGCCTGCTGCCTAGACCAGAATTACAAATCCAAATGCTTAGGGCTGGTCCTGACTGGGTGATGCTGAGCAGGGGTGAGTCAGTGGGGCCATCGTGAGGACTGTGAGAAATTCTACAATGCAACCTCATCAGTAAGGGGGCAATTACTACTCAGCTTGAGCTGATTATTACCACATAGGAATATGGGCCCTGCCTTGCCAGGTCTTTTGGTTTTTTTTAGAAAAGCTGGAAATATGGATTTGAATGTGAATTCTTATTATTTTTAAATGTTGGCAACTAATCTAAAAATAAAAATACAGTTAACACAATCAAAGCAGAGACCATGAACCTCATTGGGTGGCAGAATGTGGCCCATCTGCCTTCTGGCACAGAGGGTGGATGTAAGCGGGAGGCCCTGGGACAGTGACATCATAGCGGTCCAGGCAAGAGGTGATGAGGGCCCAGAGTCGGGCAGAGAGACAGTGAGGGAGTGAGGGTGTTAATAAATATTTATGAGGTAAACCTGGCTGAGAGGAAGGAGACTGGTAATTGTAGTCTATGGATCTGCTATTACACATATAGCCAGTGACAGGACAGGGCCCTTGTGCAGAGAATGTTGGCAAGACTGCAAGGTAGCGAGGCTGGGACAGAGGGGCTGCTGCTAGCTGCTCTCTGCACTGCCTCAGAGGCCAAAGGTGACTGGGACTACCAGAGGTCCCTCTGCCAGGAGGAGGCTAGCCATCCACATTCCCCAGGCCTGGGTCCTTTGCCAGGCTTGTGGCTTGAGGAACGCGGGTTAGCATTTGGGCCCCTTTTGTTTTAAACCTCCAGCTGCCTCACCAAGTGTAAGGTGTGTTCTGTTACCTGTGTGATGGTCCTTTTATGCATTTGCTGTGCGTTCTGTTAACACAAACCTAATAAAATGTTTTGTAACTTCTTTAGCTTTTCATTTTGCTAATGAATAATTATGTGAACAAGTACAAGACAAAACAACAACATAAATAACAAACCAGAGAAATAATACCTTGATTTGTACAGTATTTTATTTTTACAAAGAGCTGTTTGAATATATCCTAATATATGGTAGCTACTCTCTTGATTATCCTTATTGAACACTTACTATAGGCCACTCGCGTGCTCGCTTCGGCAGCACATACACTAAAATAGGCCACTCGCTTTACACAAAATATCTCATCTAACCTGTAGAGTGACCTAATGAGGTTTAGATGTTATATTTAAAAAAAAAATTTTTTTTTAAGTTTATTTATTTATGACAGAGATGGCAAAAGTGCACAAGGGGCAAAGAGCAAGGGAGACACAGACTCTGAAGCAGGCTCTGGGCTAAGCTGTCAGCACAGAGCCCAACACGGGGCTCGAACTCACAAACCACGAGATCATGACCGGAGCCAAAGTTGGACACTTAACCCACTGAGCCACCCAGGTGTCCTGTGAGGTAGATGTTATTGCTTTCACTTTGTTCATATGAGCAAAGTGAGGGTCAGAGCTGTTAATAGTTGCCTCAGTTGATACAGTGGGTAAAACTCAAAGCCAGGACTGTGTCCCAGTCTTCTGCTCAGAGACCAGAGGTTTTCCTCTAGGGAGACCAGGCTAGGTGTTCAGACAAGGAAAAGGAAACAATATTGGTGGTTCCTCAATCTGACTCATCATCCACCACACAATCTTTAAAAGACTTTTCAGGTCCCAACACTCAAGAAAATATATGTTTAACCACCTCCTGGTAATTCTTGTACTCATCCAGATTTGGGAATCTCTGGTTAAATTTTAAACCACCCAAGAACATTTTTAAAAACTCATTGATAAATGTAACATATGTGTTAAAACCTTATCATCATTACCATCTTTATGAGATTCTCCCCTTTAGGACTTTCCTGATTCAAAAAGAAAATTCCAATAATGAGCCCCTTAGCATGTAAGCAAAGGAGGAATTATAAATTATTGTACACAAACGACCTTTGTATGGTATTTACTCCCTGTCTCTAGGATTAGTCAGAATCACCACCACTAGGTGGAGGTGATATCCCACAAATCTTCCTTTTTTTTTTTTTTTTTTCCTTTAGGTCTAGCAAGTAAGTGGCCATGAATTCTACCAGGTCTCTGTAAAACGGTATCTCAAAAGATTTGCTTCTGTTAGTGCCCAAGATAATGAGCAGGCCAAGCATAAGGAAACCAAACTTTCAATGATCTGATTGTGCGATTGAAAATTACTGAGAATACAGTTAACATGTCTATCAGAAATTGAGTCTCAAATTCCTAAGAACATTATTTAGGATGGTCCAGGAAGAGAAGAAATGTACTATTAGCCCGAACTGCATGTTCTGTATTCCATAGTCATAGTAAGAACCATAAAAAAGTATAGTGTGGTGTCAAGGAAGTTAAGTATTACTGTTACTTTCTAAGAAATGTAGTTTTATAAATCTTAAGGGTTGAATTGAGCAGTCAAATATGACCAGGAATCTAGCAACCAAATGCCACATGTTTTAGGAAAATGAAGAAATGGTGGACATCCAAGAAGCCAGTGTTTAAGTATCTGACTGAAGATGAATACCGGGAACAGGCTGATGCTGAGACAAGCAGCGCCCTGGAGGAGCTGCGTGGAGCCTGCCGCAGGCCCGACTTCCCCACATGGCTGGTAGTCTCCAGACTCCAGGCTCCTAACAAGTAAGCCCTGCTCAGCTGCCAGGACCACACTGGGGTTGGGATGATTGTGAAAACACTGTGACGGTTTGCTACAGGTACTTCACATTAGGAACAGACTGATGCCCAGGAGAACCCATGATGCGGAAACTGTCAGTGGCCCTGCTCTTTCTTCAGTGCTCTGACTTGCACAGAGCTGCTAATGTCAGGACAAATAGTGACCTGATGTTTGATACGGAAGGTCGTAAACATAACTTCCACATGAGAAGTGACTGGTGTCGAAAGTAATTGTCAAAGCTTACCAGGAAAGACATCTTTGTCCCAAAATCTTTTTCCTTACTGCTTCCCTTCCTTCATAGTTTTATCTAAATAACAGTGCCCTCAAATTAAACATTGAAGGGGGAAAGTATTGATGTACTAAAATAATGAATGAATAATGACTCTAATAAGAGAAAAGGAATTAGAAAACAGGACTCGTTAGGATAGGCAGCAGTCAGTGCTCGTAAGTCAGCCTCCTTCTCTGCTCTTTCTCTGAATATCTCCAGAGGGATCACCTAAGCCATTCCCATTTTTACACCCAATGTATAAATGCCATTCTCTATTGATGTAAAGTCAAATTTAATTAAAAAGAGGATAAATAGCAAGAGAACGTGTTATCTTCCACATAAACCTTTCTGTGATAACATTAACTTTATTTAAAACAAAAAAACTACTTATTAGATTTGCAGACTTTGTTCTTGGAGGAAGCCACTTGTCGCCTGAAGAAATTAGTCTGCATGAAGAGCAATATGGTTTTGGGGGCGCCTTCTTGGAAGAACAGCTTTTTAACCTGAGGACTGCCTGATGACTATTGACTTCATTCTGGACAAGAAATGGGCTAAGGGCAAGGATCCTATTAACATTGGGCAGAACGGTTCTAGGTTTGCTATGGAGAAGAGTCATACTGGAAAGGAAAACTAAACATTATTGAAGATAACTTCTCGTTCTTGGTGAGTTCTGGTACTTATTGTAGTCATCAAGATTTTGTGAGAGTCATTGCCACTTTCCTTGAATGAAGACTTTCATTAGGAACAAGAGAATCATGTTGATCTTCAAAGAGCAAGTTAACATGAACATCTGCCTTGTCAACACCAGGCATTAAATCTTAACCTCAGAACCTGTGTCTGAAGACTGCATATAAGTGTTGGAAGAGACCTGAGATATGCTGGACCAGTGTTTTCCAAAGTATAATCCACAGGGTGCTAATAAGTGCTAGTCAGTAAAGGGATTGTGAGGTCAACTAAGATAGTAACAAAGTTAAACAAATGTACCACAGGACTTCTCAGAGCCTTTAATACTGACAATGCACGTTGTCAATCTCCTGGATAGAAACTGTGTGCTGCCATTTCTGACTTAATTTGACCACAGAACCCTTTTCCGGGAGATTGATATTCCTTGGAGCAGTTTGGAAAATGCTAATGATGGCAGAATTGAGATTTGGGGAGGTTCAATAACTTGTCCAAAACTACAAAGCTATTTAGAGGCAGCACTGGGACTAGACATCAGCCCTAATGTTACCTACAACTCAGGTAAAGAAGAGACCTTCAGAGGTGAGCCTAGGGGCCATCTCCCTACAGCCTTGGATCTCACAGTATTGGTGACTTTTTTATTTTTTAATAATGGACAACTATCTATTTGATAACTATGATAGAGAACATTTCCTCAGATTATATTTTAAAGTTTGATAAGATTTTTATAGACATATAAATTTTAGAAAGAATTATTTTCTATAATTTTTTGTATATTGCAATTGAAGACACTTAACCTCTTGTGACATTTTGAGTTGACTGGTCCATTTTTAAAATTTAGTTATATATATTTGTAACAGTTTCCTACACAACAGACTTGTGATCTTTCTTCAGAGAACAAATATTTTTTTCTTGATTCTCCGGAGTGAAATGACCCTGAGCTTTGACCCTGGGGAAAGAAGGCCAAAACTAAGAGCTGAGAAAAGATCTGAACATGGCAAAACAATCTAAAGGTTAAGATGTGCTAAATTGATTCACTTAAAGAAGGTTTTGCTGTGTTGAGTTTTTTTTTTTTTTTTTCAACATTTATTTATTTTTGGGACAGAGAGAGACAGAGCATGAACGGGGGAGGGGCAGAGAGAGAGGGAGACACAGAATTGGAAACAGGCTCCAGGCTCTGAGCCATCAGCCCAGAGCCCGACGCGGGGCTCGAACTCACGGACCGCGAGATCGTGACCTGGCTGAAGTCGGACACTTAACCGACTGCGCCACCCAGGCGCCCCTGTGTTGAGTTCTTAAAGAGGCATACAGAATGAGGAATCTCTTTTTACTAGGAGGGATGTGGATACGGAGGAAGGACATTACAGAAAATTTAGGAGCTGCTTTCCTGAGCCATGGCTACCCATTTGGAACTTTCTAGGTTGATTTTCAAATATTTTCTCTTTGAAGCAGTGTGTCAGTATTTTACAAGTTCCTCTTTTTACAAGACACCTTTCAGTATTAAGAGTTCTGCAGTCTTTGTGAAATGCACTAAATTCAATCTGTGCTTTCACATAGATTGATTTCAAATATCAAAGAATCTTCCATTCAAATTTATGATGATTATGATGATGACTGTTTTATAAGTGTAAACAGGTCTGACACTTTTGTTATAGTTTTATCTGAATTTTTTATAATTAAATTTATTGCCAGTATATTATGAATGTGTCAGATGCATCAGTGCTGTGCTCACCATGTTCACCTCCCAGGAGGCAGTTTTTGGCAGAATGTGTGTCTGAATGATGTGTGCACAGTCAGTTGCAGTCTGGGCCTTACCTATGCCATGTTGAAGAGGGGCTGGCTGCAGAAGGAGGCCATAGTGGGTCAAGCTGGGTGGGACCATCACAATAAAAACAGCTAAAGAGAGGAAGAGTACAAGAGTCTTCTGGGATGCTGTTTTTCAGGTTTATTTTAGAGGAAATCATGGATTTGTCAGTTTCTGTTATGTGAGTACTGTGAAAAGCAAAACAGTTACAAGCATGAGTTGTGATACATTTGGTGTATTTCTGTTGTGTTCATTTGATTTGGGGTTTATTATAGTGCTGATCACAGTTCTAATCCCCGTGAAGCAATACACCGATGACTCCCACAGGAGAGCTTTTTTCTCTTCTTTCCTTTCTCCCTTCCCTCCTCTGTCTTCCCCCTCCCACCTCCCTCTCCCTCCTTTATTTAAAGTCCTTTAAACTGTTTAAATGACCATTCAGTAAAATGGCTCTGCCCTTCACGGTTAAAAGTTGGCTTCGTGCTTCATATCGCCATAGGTGTGCAATTACGAAACAGAACAGATGCTTTGTGTTAGTGCTTAGGCAAGGTGCCTCATAAAAGCTTACTGTTGTTAGCAAGTTGGGGCTATTTGACACCAAAATGTGTGGGTGAGATTTAGCGTAAGGGGGCCATGCTTAAACAATTATATCATTCAAATGTTATTTTTAAAATGTTTTAAAACACATTTTACATATCACAAAAATTGCTTTGTGAATTGGTTGTACACTTTGCCAATAATACTAAGGGCTGAAATCAGAGGGGAATGTCCATCTGATGTTTAGGACAGTATTTCAATTTATGACCTTTTTTAAAAAATCTAGAAACTTAAGAGATTTCAGTTTTTAAGAGGCTTGGAATAGATGATGGATTATATCAATATATCGAAACAAGGTCATAAATTAAGACCCCTGCAGTTGTGTTAAGAAAAGAAAAAGGATTATTGTGTATGAGGTTATTTCTTAAAGAAGTACAGTTTTTTAAATCAGCCTTTTTTGTCCAGCTGTTGCATAAATAACATAATGGATGTAGAATTTCGAAGATGCCTGCATTAAGATAGAGAGGTGTTTGTAGGTGACCCCACTGCTGCCTTCTGAGACCCCCACCAGGAGGTATGACACTGATGAGTTTACCACATGAGTTAGCCAATTCATATAGTGTATTTAGTGACTCACAGCCAAAAATAAAACTAGCATAAGGATAAAAACACTTGAATTCATAAGACCAGCAGATTCTCTCCCAGAAGACAGATCTATGAGGGGTCAAATAGTAGGAATAAGGTTGCTTGAGCAGAAAGAGAACAAAGGGAGTTTGTTACATAATTCAAGTGTTTGATGTCACCAGGCCAAAAAGTCTAATTTAATCCCTCAGTGGGACTACCCTAACGTGATGAGGTACTAAATCTTTTGGCACAGGCCTCCTTTATGCAGACCCTGCCAGCTTTTCCTGTCTGTGCCTGTTGTCACTGACCAGCATCTCGACCCCCTTCTACTGGGCATGTTCTTCATTCAGATACGTTCTTAAAATCTTCAGTCTTTCTCTGGCTTAGGAATCTAGTTACCATTTTAGGGTAACTGCCTATTTTTGCTATGGTCTCTGAATGTGATGCCTTCACAGGTCACAGGAGATTTGGGCTGAGTGTATATTTAGTAGGATACATCTTGGAAGACACATTCAATGGGATAGCTGCTCTTTATTGTTTCAATTTTTTTTTTATTTTTTTTAATGTTTATTTATTTTTGAGAGCAAGAGAGAGCGCAAGCAGGGGAGGGGCAGAAAAAGAGAGGGAGACACAGAATCTGAAACAGGCTCCAGATTCTGAGCTGTCAGCACAGAGCCCGATGCGGGGCTCAAACTCCGGAACAGCGAGATCAGGACTGAGCCAAAGTCACTCAACCTACTGAGCCACAGAGACACCCCTTGTTTAATTTTTTTCTTTTTTTTTTTGAGAGAGAGTGCGAGCACACACACATGTGAGCACAAGCGGGGGAGGGACAGAGGGAGAGAATCTTAAGCCGGCTTCATACCCAGCAAGGAGCCCCACAGGGGCCCCCCACACAACTGTGAGATCATGACCTGAGCTGAAATCAAGAGCCGGGTGCTTAACCAACTGAGCCACCCACTATTTTAACCACTATTATTTAAATAATTTGGGAGAATCTATTTTTTACATTTGGTCCATTTTCCAGAAAGGCAATAATCAAAAGGAGAAAGGGG